GGTAATGGGTAGGGGGAGAGGGTGGCGTCCTGACCTGCCAGCAGCGCCGTGCTGCTGGTTCCGCCCAGGGGAGTTCGCTGCCGATCGAAGAGGAGGAGGGCCGATCGTACTTGGAGGAAACTCGGCATGGGATCCTTGAACTGGAGAAACGAGGTTTGTGCCTGTAGGTCATCGGGGAGTCCTCGCAGCATCTGGAGAACCAAGTGGTGTTCGGATACAGGAGCATCTACATCGTCCAACCAATCCGCAATATTCCTTAGCTCTTGGCAATACGTGGCCATGGGTGTAGATCCTTTGACGGTGGTACGAAATTGATGCTCGAGTTGCATGCCGCGAGCATGTTTGTTGTCGTGAAACAGGTCTTGAATCACCGTCTAGAGAGCAGAGGCAGTAGAAACAGAGGAAAGAACTAGATCAAAAACTTCATCAGTGATGGTGGAGAGAATCCAGCCCTGGAGGATGGCGTTGAGTTTTGTGGGGATTGTGTTTTTGGCTATCGTGTGGGATGGTGTGGGGATCGTGAGATAACCCTGAAGGTTGAACCGCCGTGCAAGAATAAGGAACAAGCGGCTCCACTTTTTGTAGTTTGGTTGAGAAAAGCTAAGTTGGATTGGAACATGGAGTTTGAAATTGGAGACGGAGAAAGCTAGATGTGGAGATTTTTGGGTGGAGGATTGAGAGGTGACTTCACTTTCGGCCATTGTAGGAGGGGGAGGAAGCTGCCGGCCGTGAAGAACGGAGGAGGGAGACGGCGGCACAGGTGGTGGTTCGGCATAAGGGGAGGGCCAAAACTAGGGAAGATATTTTAGGGTTTTAGTTAGGCTCTGATACCATGAAGCAGTGGAATTTTCATTGATTAATTATGAGAGGAATACATGTATATATATACAAAGTCTCAATCCTAGTTATGGTAGGAGAGATATTCTAGGAAACTATACAACTATGGAAACAAATCATAATACAAAAATATTAAATATTTTTTATATATTTAACAAATATAGAAAAAGAAAAAAGGGATTTATTAAAAGTGTAAAATAGATTTATAAAATGAAATTGGTTTGTTTTTCTCAACTTTTAAATGGATATTGTTTATATGGAGAATAATTTTTATATACTAAATTATACATTAAATATTGAAAAAGATTTCGAAATTAAAAATTCGTAGATTTAAACTTTGTTCAATTAACCTCTTTCTCTTAGCTTTATTTATTTTCCAACACCTTTAATATTTTCAAACTTTTAGCTTTTTCCCAATTCTTTCCAATTTTTTCAACACTTCAAGTTATTGCAGCTACTGTCGCCATTACCACTCCGTCGCCACAATCTCATGCTGCCTCAATATTAAATGTGGCCATCATCTACATTGTTGTTGCCACTAACACTGCCACGGTCGGCACTATCGCCACCACGATCTGCCGCACTCATCCCCATTTGTTGCTGATGCCGCCTCCATCGCCCCCATTTGCTGCTGTCAATCATAGTTTACTGCCAATGTTGGGATTAGGATTGCCATTGTCGCCACCATAGTGCCATGGAAAATTTTTTCAATACAATGTCAACCAAAGCCACAATGTCAAAGATGATAATGCATACTGACAAACATATTGCATAACGCCAAACATGTTATTACATAATGCCAAATATGTCAATATAAAATGTCTAAAATAAAGTGAAATGTCAAGATTTCCAACATACAATGTCAAGTTTCTTATCACTATCACCAAATTTTGCTAAAATTGGGAGAAAAATTGAAAGACAACTAATAAGAAACAATCAAACAAAAAAAATAAAAGAAAAAAATACAAAAATGAAAAGAAAAAACCAAACCAAAATCAATGCCTAATGAAAATGCAATTTTTTGGAGAAAAAAAGATGAATAAAATTAGTTGGAAGCATTTCTTACTTCTACGATGCAGTCTCAATTATAGAGCATTGGAAGCTAATTAAAAATCAAAAATATAGTCATCGCGAATGGAGACATTCTCAGCTCCGATGGATATAGGCGGTGCAATAGATCTGCAAGGGGGAGAGATAGAGGCGGCACTCTGCGGTGGATCTACAAGGGATGCTTCGTGACAGATCTGCAATGGGGGAAGCTGGTGCGGTGACACTACAAAGCGTGACCATGGTGATGTACTGCCCTTGGGCTGAATTTGGCGGAGGCAACACTGCAAAATGGTGAGCGTGGTGCCCAAAAATGAGAGAGGGAGGAGAGAGGTATGGTGGGGTGGCCGCGGTGAGAAGAGAGAGTAGAGAGATGAGACTAATTGGAGATTCATTACTATTTTTGAGGTTTTCTTTATTATTTAATTAATTACTCCTATTTAGAGGAGTTTAGGTTTAGACTCCTATTTTGAGGAGGTGAAATACGTTTAACTCCTATTTAAGGGGTTTTCTTAAAAAAATTTGGAGCAAAAAAATCTGCTCTGGGAATATCTCAGTTAGAGGCAAGTGTTCGTCATGGTCTTTCTGATGGAAGGGAAAAGAAGAAAGAAGAAGAAGATTAAAAAGAAGAAAAAGAAAAAAAGAAGAAAGAAGAAGTTCGATAGATGGTGAGAAGAAGATAAGGGAGAATTGAGTTCAACGAAGAGACGGACGGATTGTCACTCTGGAGTAATTTTTCGTTTATTTAAAGATACCTCGAAGTATATTTTGAAAAATAATGAGAAATATGATAGATGGAAGGGGGAAAAATTCCGACGAAACTCCAACAATGTGGATTCTAACTTTTTTACTATTAAGTGTAAAATAGATTTATAATATGAAATTGACTTGTTTTTCTAGAAATCATCCTAAATGGGACTAAAACATAGAAAAAGTACCAAAATAGGACTTTCATGTTTTTTTCCTGGATAGGACTTTGCACTGTGGTAATGTGACTTTGCATTGTGGTAATGTGGCAGTGTACATCATGTGCAAATTACTATACGTTTTTGGTAATGTATATGACCATGTTTGGTAATGTAACTCTTATTTCGAAAATAAAAACATGGAAGTCCTATTTTGGTATATTTTCAATATTTTAGTCCTACTTTGATCTTTCTTCTTTTTTCTCAACTTTCACATGGATAGTGTCTTATATGGAAAATATTGGTTTTATATTAAATTGTACGCAAAATATTGAAAAAGATTTCAAAATTAAAAGTTCATAGATATTAATTCTATTCTATTCGGTTCTCGCTTTTAGCTTCATTTATTTTCCAACACCTTTAATATTTCCAAACATTTACTTTGTTTCCCAATTCCTTCAAATTTTTTTCAACACTTCAAGTTATTTCAGTCCATTCTACTTTCTTCAATCTATTTTATGGATTTTCAACTCGTAGTTTCTTTCAACTTTTTCCAACACTGACATAAAAATTATTTAGTGGCATTTTCGATGGTGTTCTAATTACAATTAATATCTCTATCAATGTCAATGAAATAAGAGAAAATTGAAGTAAGATGACGATATGTATCGCGATGTAATATTTTTGTCCCAAAAACAAGTAGAATTAGCGTTGCAAATTTGGAGGAAAAGAAAAACAGCTCTAGGTAGGCTCAGAATTCAGTGCAAGTGCTCATCATATGCAAAATATTGAAATAGTACCCTCAATATTGAAAAAGATATCGAAATTAAAATTTTATAGATATTAACTCTATTCTATTCGGTTCTCGCTTTTAGCTTCATTTATTTTCCAACAACTTTAATATTTCTAAACTTTTAGTTTGTTCCCCAATTCCTTCAAAAAAAAATTCAACACTTCAAGCTATTTCAGTCCATTCTACTTTCTTCGATCTATTTTATTCCTTCAAAATTTTTTCAACACTTCAAGTTATTTCAGACCATTCTACTTTCTTCGATATATTTTCTCAACTTTCAAATGGATAGTGTCTTATATGGACAATATTGGTTATATATTAAATTGTACGCGAAATATTGAAAAAAATTTCGAAATTAAAAGTTCATAGATATTAACTCTATTCTATTCGGTTCTCGCTTTTAGCTTCATTTAATTTCCAACACCTTTAATATTTCCAAACATTTAGTTTGTTTCCCAATTCCTTCAAATTTGTTTCAACACTTCAAGTTATTTCAATCCATTCTACTTTCTTCGATCTATTTTATGGAGTAGTAGTAAAATCACTAATTAAATTTGATAAGTATAATAACAAATAATTATAGTAAAAATTCTCTCTGGCTTGAATCGTTAGAACCCCACTTCACAGAATTAATGAGAAAATTCACCCAGGTTTGAGTCTCCGTGGAGGCGGAAGCAATAGCTCTTTGTGCGTCATTATCAAGTTGAGAATAATATAAACAAATACTACTTTGTAATAAAGATATAAACATTAAAAAAATTATACAAAAAATATAGAAGAAGAAAAAGGGGAGAAAGTGCTGCCGCGAGTGGAAAGGAAAAGAAGAAAGAAAAAGATCCAAAGATGGCGATGAAGAAAAAGAAGATAATGGAGAGTTGAGTTTGACAGGAAAATGGGCAAATGTGATTATTGGGACAAGTGGTATATGGGATTGTATTTTGCCAAAAGATTAGCCAACACCATGGAACTAACAAAGTGATGGGTAAATGTGATGCATAGATTATTAGGGAAAAAGTATGATGTGATAGGTAGGATATGAAAAAGTAAGGATAAAAGTAGTTTTTTAGTAGAAAGTGGAAGTATTTGTTGGTAGTGAAAATTTTGAAAGAAGAATTGTTTAAAAGAATGGAGGAGAAGTAATAATAATAACTAGTGTTTTCCCCGTGCTTCGCACGGGCTCATATATTTTTAGATAAAATATATCTATAAATTTTATATTCTATTTTTAAAAATTGTAAAATTAAAAATAAATTAGAATATGTATTGAAATCGATATGCTACACTGCACTACCGATATATAAAACATGTAAATATATTTTATATACGCTTGTACATATGAAAAAATTATTTTGATATTTCTTGTGTGTGAGTGTGTGTACACATAAAATTGTAATATTCTTACGTAAAATATGTCTACAAAATTTATATGCCATTTCAATAAAATGTGAAATTAAAAATAAATTTGTGTGCTTCACAGGGACGGGCGCGATTCGTGACAGTCCGTGATACTACCGGAACATATCACGGAATATATATATATATATATATATATATATATATATATATATATATATATATATATATATATATATATATATATTATATTCCATTTTTAAAAATTGTAAAATTAAAAATAAATTAGAATATGTATTGAAGTCGATATGCTACACTGCACTACCGATATATAAAACATGTGTGTGTGTGTGTCTATATATATATATATATACACATATACATACATACATATATATATATACATACATACATAC